TTAAAATTGAAAAATTCTAATTACAAAGTTTCAATTCTAAAAAGGGTAGTTTACTGATCTGCCAAGTTCTTTACTTGTTATTTTAAAAATAATTGTGGTTGTCAGTATTATCACATAGTTTAAGTATTTGTATTTACAGTTAAGGTACTATTAATCACTTGCTAACAAAACCTTAGTAAAAGAATTTTTACCCTACAGTTTCAAGTTTTTAATGACGATGACCTCCTGTGACCTTGTTTTCACTTTCCACTCATTGCTAGCTACTGTTCCTATCAGAAAAAGAGCTCTTGAACCTGCTAAAGAAACTAAATATTTAATCATGTTCTTATCTGGTGTATTTTATGTCAGAATTGTATTATTTGTCTAATTGAGATGATAATCTATGGAAATAAGGACCTCATGTCTCGTATGTCTTCGACTCAACGTATTTGAGCCTTAGAATATGGCTGGCCATTTGCATGGTTCATGATACAAAATACCAGTCTAAATCTTTTAAATCTTCTTGTAATTGCTAATTATGAAACAGATAGACAAAGACAGTATTTTTTATAAAGACCTGGAGAATGGCATTCTATTCTTTCTCTTTTTAAAAATTCTCTTCTATATATCTAAGGCATTAATGAAGTTAGTACATATATGATAATATAAAATTAGAAATATTATTAGTACTACTACACTCTAAGAATTAAGAATAACAAATGATTGTTATCATTTTAGTCTTTTATGAGTGATCTAGCAAGCTGACAACTTTCTGTTGTATCTTTTTTCCATTAAACTTATACATGGATGTTAGTCAACCAATGAAGTTGATGTAATCAAGGGACATATCTAGTGGAAGAATATTTCTTAGGTATATTTTTATGTGGCTCCCCCACCACAGCTTGACTTTGTGAAAGGTAAAAAAAAGAAGGAAGGAAGGAAGGAAGGAAGGAAGGAAGGAAGGAAGGAAGGAAAGAAAGAAAGAAGGAAGGAAGGAAGAAAAGAACTGGGTTTGGTGGCCCATGGGTTTGGTGGCAACATGGTAGTCCCACCATGTTGGAAGACTGAGGCAGGAGAATCACAACTACAAGCTCAGCCTGGCCAATTCAGCAACTTATTGAGATTCTGTCTCAAAATAAAAAATAAACAGAGGGAAAGAGGAATTCTTAGAGGTAGGAGAGATGTCTGGAAAGGCCTTTTGAAAGGTGCTGTTTGAGTAGGTTCCTGAAAAAAAATGTAGTACTGTATTTCAAAGAGAGAATTTTGGAGAAGTACAGTCTTGTCTGAGTTAACTATGTGAGTGAAAAATATCAAACAAGTTTTATTGACATTTTGTGTACTAAGTATTATATATGCACTAATTCATTTGAGCCCAAGATTTCTGTAAAATATGTTTCAATATCTGAATTTACAGGTTAAAAAAAAGTGAAGCTTAAGTTGAACTGGTCTGGACGATGAATTCTGTAGCAGGGAGAGGGCCACCTGCCAGGCTCACATTCAGAACAGGGAGTGGTTCCCCTCTACCACGGAAGAGGCCCATACGGAGGAGCCTGTGCTCAGGAAGCACAGAACTTTATGTGAAAATATGACATCCACATGCACCAGTATACATGGGAAAATTGGGGGCCCGAGTTTTCCAAGCTCACATGACCAAGGGGGACATTCATTTAAACTAGAAATTCCAGTCCTGTCTGCAAATTCTGATCTTGTTGATGTGAGGCAGCCCCTCAAAATCTGTAGACTTAACAAAGGTTGGGTGATTCTGTCCATCAGGCAAGTTGGATACACTTGCTTACCTTGGTTAACACATAGTGGGGAAATAAGGCATCTAACTCCTAATTGTTGCTCATTCATTTGCAGCATTGGAAACAAAACTTTTAAAGATAATGTATATAGGATTTGGACTTAATGCTCTCCTCAACGAGATGCCATTGGAGACTTATGCATGCAGTGTAAAATAAATACTTAAGAGAAAAACAGAATATTGTTTGTGTGAAGAAAGATGTGATATTTTTCTAAAATTTAAAATGTTGGGGTTTTTTCTCCCAGTAAATTGCTTTAAAAATGGAAAAAGAGTTCTGGCCAAATAGCTCAGCGGATTAAAGTGCCTGCTTAGGCAGAAGTTTATTTAAACTAGGGGCCAGCAGTTCAATCCCCGGACCTGCTATGCTGGCCCTGACCCCAGGGCACACTGAGGCACAGCAATTGAGACTGGGCATGGTGGCACATTCCTGTAATCCCAGCACTTGGAAGGCTGTAAACAGGAGGATCACTTGTGTCCAATCTATGCAGTGAGACCCTGTAGACCCTGCCCTAAAAGACTAAAAATAAAAATAAAAATGAAAAAAAACTTAGTAAACAGATGGCTAAAGAGAGGACAAGAAACTAGAAGGTCTTCTATTAGAGGTGCTAGGAGAAGGGCAAGGAGGATAATGGGCATGAAAATAATTAAAACATGATATACACATGTACCAGTATACTACCATAGTCTCATTATTTTGTACTAATATACACAGATTAAAAAAAAGAAGTACCTAAAGCATTTATAAATTTTGGAATGGAATCTTAGATAATTTTTAACATTTGATATTGTGGTAAGAATAAATACATATGTTTTACAAGAAACATAAAGTAACTATTATAGTGACTCCAAGTATATATACGTATTTTTTTTTGCTAATTTTAAAAACAATACATTTTTGTGTACAATCACAATGCTGATGAAAATATTGGTTTTCTTTCTTCCTGGCTACATTCTTTTCAGACTTCGAGCCCGTCACTTCCTCCTTTTCTTTCAGTTTGCAAGGTTGCCAGAGAAAGCAAGTTATATCTATCCATGTAGACTGCCTCTGCTTTCTGCCTGAAACTGCAAGGCAGCATCCACTACTTCTCTGCTAGGAACACCTCAAAGTAACAAGATAAATGAAAGTTTTCTCCAAGAAATTGTGGATACTCATGTGCTAGCTTGCGATTCTGTGGGTGTTATGGTTTGTATATATTTGTCCCCCCACCCTCCAAAGCCTCATGCAGACCTGGGACAGACTTGTAGAGTTCGTGATTAATTCATGATCAAGGCTGGGGTTGTGGGTCTTAGTACTGTTGAGATTATGGTTGTGAACAGCACCCAGCCTGAGGCTTATATCCTGAATGTAACTTAAGGGAGACAGACTTGCTCTCTGTTGCCATTGTTGCTGGTAACCTTACCTTTGCTCTCTGCTCTATGCTGCTGCCATGAAAGGCTGCTGTCTGCCATGTGCCGCTCCGCCTTGGAGCCAGCTGAGTATGGACTGAACCCTCCAGTACCTGTGAGCTAAATAAACCTTTCCTTCCTTCACTTTGAGTGTCAGGTATTTGTCCCAGCAATGAGAGAAGAATAACTGAGACACTGGGTATTCTATCAGAACTTTATACTTTTACAATACTTATCACAATATGTTATAATTGTCCATTTGCCTTTCACTTTCAATCTCTTCAACTAGTTTAATTTGAATCTCTAGTATCTATGCTTTGGGATTATGAAATAATTATATTCTTTTTAAACTTGTTTTAACATAAACATTTCCCTGATTACTCTTTGAAAACATTTCTACTTAAACTCATATCAACATTCTATAAACAAGTGATTTTGTCGGGCATGGTGGCACATGCCTGTAATTCCAGCACTGGGCCCTCAACTGCCCCCATCCGTCAGACCAATGGGAGCACTGCTAGTAAGGACAACCAGCTCTTCATCCAGGAGTGGGGAACAGGCTTCCTTCCTGTACCGTCTCAACCCCCAAAACAGTCTCCCACAGGGCAGAACAAGCCCAGGAGGGGTACAGCCAATAGCTAGCACCACAGACTAGAGGCGCCCACAAAAAGACACCACTGCTCAGCCTTGGGCACCTGTAAGACAAATCCAGGAGCACCATGGAAGGCCAAGGCAGTGGCATGCTTGCCCACCACGGGAGGCTGAGGCAGGAAGATTGGTTGAGTTCAAGACTAGCTTGCACCACGCAGTGAATTCAAGCCCAGCCACAACTACACAGCCAGACCCTGTCTCAAAAAGGTGGAGACACTTTCTCCTGTTTTAGGCTGCTTTCACCTTTTAACTCCTGCAGACCGTATAACTTTTATTTATATTCCTTATTTTCTTAAAGTAGATCCCCAACTTGAACTGCACTAGTTTCCTTTCCCTCCTTATCAGCAGAAGCTAGGCTCCAAGAATCCCAATATATGCCTGAAACCTTGGGTGTTAGTGTGTTCTATACCAATAGAGTATCCCTTATCCAAAATGCGTGGGTATACAAGTATTTTGAATTTTTAAACCTTGAACTATCTGCGTATGGATAATGAAATTTCTTGGGGATGGGATATGAGTTTAAACATAAAATTTAAATTCTATATACACATTATACACATAGCCTGAGTGTAATTTAATACTGTATCTATAGTTTGCTTACAGTTTGACTGTGACTTGTTAATAAGGTGAGGTGTGGAATTTTCCACTTAGATGTTATGTTGGTGTTCGGAAAGTACAGACTTTGGAGCCCTTTGGATTTTGAATTTTCAGATTAAAAATATTTTCTCTCTGTAATATTGTGTATGTGTGCATATGTTTATAGTGCGTGTGTGCATGTATCTATAGAGAAATGTGTTTACTAATTATATTAATTTGGTCACTACTCGCTACACAGTACATCTATATGTATTGAGTCTCCAGTCAGCACAAAAAAGCAAGTCAAATTTAAACGGGAAGACCAGAAAAAGGGAAAAAAGAAAAACACAATAATTCTCTCCCTGTTGTAATAACGTTGCTCCAAAGGGACAGCGTTTAAGCATGGAATAAACGGTTAAGTTTCAGCTGCCTCCATCGCCCCAAGTGGAATGCCTTCCTGGAAATTTGAGTTTATCGGCCCCTTTCCGTCCTCCACATTGTTCTTTCGCGGACGCTTCCCGTTTCCCTGGCAACCCGAGCTCCCACCAGTTACAGCTCAGCGTTACGGTCACGTGTCCTTGGCCCCTTCCTGGGCAGAGGAAACATGGCGGCCCCCGTTAAGCTGTGGCTGTGAGGTTTGAATTTGTGCATTTGCTGCATTTTTGACTATGGCGTCTCCGGCTTTGTGCGAATCACGTAGGAGCCCAGACGAGCTCTCTGGAGACCCCTCTTTACGAGAATATGAGGATCGTAAATCTGAAGATCGAGTCAGCGACTCGGGTTCATACACCTCAGCGAGTAGTGACTATGATGAGTAAGCTCTTCAAGAGGGACGAAAAGTCCTTATCTTCCAGGAGTTGTGATCCGGGCGGGGGGCGGGGGTGAAGGGTGCTGACTTAGTTAGAACTGACTAGTTGAGTTTCTATATGTGGAGTTTATAATTTGCACCGCGCTTCAGTTGTGTAGTGGTATGTGCCAAAATGATGGTACTTCTTTGCTACTGTAGGGTGTGTGTGTGTGTGTGTAGTTCTGAGATAAGGGGGGGGGGTCCTCCCTTCTGGTATTGAACTACTGTTGTTATATTTAAGGAAACTGCTATACCATTTTAAATGATGAAAAATGCTAGCATTAATGCAAATTAAGACCAGAGTTAGAAAACTTCTGAGGGGATGGAGAGTTAATGTTAACCTAGAATTCTTGAGTACTTTTTAAATTGAGAAACCTAGTAGAGCTACCTGAAGTTTGTTTTTAAAAAATATGTTTATGGTACAATTTATGTAAGTGAACTTGATTATTTGCAAATTTTCTTTCTTTGGGAGAAGGTTTGTGCATGTTGACCATATCATTTAGGGCATTAAAATCAATTAAAGTACCTTCAAACTTTGCAAACGTTTCTCTCTTCTTAGAGCAAAATAAAACAAAATAAGACTTTCATTTTTTTAAAAAAAGGATTGAAAGAAATTTACCCAATGAGAACTTTGCAATTAACAATATAAGGGGTTAAGACAGTGTTGAAAGGATATTTATGTAGTGCTGATTAATGTGATATGTACATTATAAAAATACAAATTAAATTTCCTGGATGTAATTCCTTTTACCTTTAAATAATTTTTAAATCATGGCATATGTTTAGATTTACATAGAGTTACAAAGATAGTACCATACAGCATTCCTGTAAATCCTTTACCCAATTTCCCAACTCCCATCTTTATCTAATTTCCACTAATGCTCTTTTTCTGTCCCAGGATTTGCTTCCATTACTTGGTTGAATGGGTGTTTTCACTGTAAAAGTTACTGTTCTGCACTTTTCATGCTCCCATGAAAGCCTGACAGGAGGAAGGATGGAATTCCATCTCCTGGAGTGGGGGTTATTTGCATTTATTAATTTCTTTATTTTGTTATAAATGAATAATGACTGAAAATGTAGGTCTTTGTTTTTAATACATCCACTTCAGTACAACTAGAAGACTGGAAGATAATCCTTGGTCTGTATCAAACTTTCCTATGCTAATCAGTGATAATTTGAAATTACCTCACTAGTAATAAATCTTCTGGAGTGGGGAATAAGGAACTAGGAATACTGAATTGTAGAGACCTTAATCACACTTAAGTTTCGTTTTTTGTATCACCAGCATCTAGCAAAGCACCTGGTATACTGAGGTTCTTAAATAGCTTTATTGCATGCCAAGGGTTAAATGGGCACAAAAGCAGGAGAGCTGTTTCTCATGAGGGTGTTTCTCTACAGTTCTTTCTCCGAGGAGCAAGGAGAAAGAAACAAAGACATTTATTTGGTGCTTAATGTTCCAGGTACAACACTATTATTTCTGTTGATAACAACCTTATGAGGTGCATATTACATATCACAGTAATAAGGAAACTGACACCTAGAGTCAATAAGTTAGTGATCAATTCTAGGAAGGTTAAAATCAAAATGGAATAGAATTTGAACCCAGTTCTCATTTCTCAGGTCATTTTTTTTTTTTTTTTTTTAAATCTATCCATTGCCTCCCTGTATGGAGTCTCTTACATAGGTTTCCCTTTTTTCCTTCTTCCCTTCATTTTCTTCCCCTTCCCTCTCTAGTTTCTCTATCTCTCTCATTCTTCCTGCTTTCTCCCCTTCCTCCCACCCTCCCTATTTCTTTCTGCTTTTATTTCCCTCTATCTTTAAAAAAATTCTCTTTTTGGTTTTTTGAGACAGTGTCTTGCTATGTAGTGCCTTGAACTTACCATGTAGTCCAAGATGGTCTCAGACTCACAAAGTGGTGGGATTATAAGCATGTACCACAACTTCCAACATTTCTTCTACTTTTTAAATTTTTTTTAATTTTAAGGAAGGGCCTACAGGGTGTGCAAGGTCTCGCTACTAGATTGGACTCATAGTGATTCCCCTGTTTACAGCCTCCAAGAGCTGGGATTACAGGTGCTCGCCACCACACCCAGTCTCAATCTCTGTTTTAGTGTGCTTCAGGGGTGGGGCTGGCATGGCAGGCCTGGGGATCAAACCCCTGTCCCCTGCGCCTGCTTGTAGGCGCTATTTGGCCGGCCTTCTACTTCTTAAAGTGAAATATTTTTGCATGGTGGCACATACCTGTAATCACAGCACTCAGGAGGCTGAGGCAAGAGGATCATTGCAAGTTGTTTTTGTTTTCTGTCTTTTTGTATATTAGGAGAGGGTTTACAGGGTATACAGGGTGTACAGGGTCTCACTGCATAGATCAGACTCCTAGTGATCCTCCTGTTTACAGCCTCCTAAGTGCTGGGATTACAGACGTGCGCCCAGTCTCAATTGCCATCTCTGCACGCCCTGGGGGTGGGGCTGGCACGGCAGGCCTTGGGATCGAACTCCCAGCCCCTGCATCTTGCCTAAACAGGCGCTTTAATCCCCTGAGCTATTTGGCTAGTCCAAGTTGAAAACGATTTTTTTTTTTTTTTTTTTGGCTGGTTCATGTTGCCTTAAGGGCAGGTCTGGTAAGGCATCTGGATCTGGGGATCACATATCCTGACCCTGACTGTATTTGCATAAGCAGGAGCTTAAACAACTGAACTAACCAGCAGGCCCCCCATTGCAAGTTTGAGACCAATGTGGGCTACAGAGTGAGCTCAAGGCCAGCCTGAACTGCATAGTGAGACCCTGTCTCAAAAAGAGAGAGAGAAAAAAAGTGAAATATTTTTAAAATCTAGAATTAAGAAAATGACTCCAATGTTGCAGGTAAAAAATATGAATTGGCATTGTCTTTTGGGTAAAATCCTATGTATACATGCACGTAATGATTGTTACTATAACTTTGGGAAAAACAACTCAACTGTATGATTAAGTGAGAGATTATAAAGGTGATTATACATCTTGATGTATTATAAAATCATGGATTTCTAACATTGTTTATGTCTGTGAGAGGCAGGGAGGGAAATGACTGCATGATAATGATGTGCCATTTATGCACAAGGTGTCTGCATGTATGCAGTAAGGGATGCAGGAAAAAAGTTACCAGCTAGAAATTAGTCCATATTAATCACTTCTCTCTTCTCATTTTGTCTGAAAGTTCCAGTGATTTTCAAACATTTCTCAAATGTTTTTCCTCTTCCTCATCTCTTCTGTTACATTAGTCTCATTTTTGTTTTGGCTCCTGAAATAACCCTGTAATGGGTATGTATTCCTGTCTTGAGTTGTAACCATCTCAAACTCACCTTCCCTTTGCTTTGCTGCGAGGGTCTGCCAGATATATCTAACTGTAAACCCTCTACTTAACAAAGTCTTCATTGAAACTCTCACCTGTGCTAAAAATCCAAACCTCCTAGTGTATGCAGAATCAGGGTTTGACCACTTGGCATTCCCTACCTTTCATGTGACTCTGGCAATTGCAGAAGTAGTAGAGATTCTCTAGACCCTTTGCTTATCTTTTTATGTTGTTGTGTTTTGCAGACTGAACCCAGAGCTTTCCCATTGAGCTACATCCCAGCTATCTTTGTCTGCTTTTAGTTTTTTTAATTTTTACTT